TCTGTGCTGCGCCGGACGAAATCATGCGAATCACTGCAATGGTTGCAAAGCGTACATCTCCCAAGAATCACTGTGCGGGCCCATGCAACGGATGCAAGCGGCACATGATATAAACAGCCTGTAGCGATGAAGCCGGGCCACTGCGCCCTGTGCGTATGGAGATGAGGGCGAGAGAAAGGTAGAGATGGTAGAGCCAGTTGTAGAAGGAAGCAGAACACTGTGCGGACCACTTCTAAGATCTGTGCACCCCAAGTCTGGGTGGAGCACCGCCAATCACCACCACACGGTTGGCGGAGTCCACTGTTGCGGCAGTGGCCATACGCGCACCAGGTGCCTGCAGCTCAGCTGTGAATTTGGGCCACTTGGGTGTGGAGACGCCTGCAAGCTGAAGGTTGCCAATGGAAGAGAATGGAGCAAGTACATGCAATGACGCAGGGCTTTGCTTCAGCGACCGCGGAGGGTCTGGGATAGGATTGTCTAGTTGTCTGACTAGAACGGTCATGATGATGTGGATGGACGACGTCTTTGAAGCATCCCTGAAAGCTCATCTGAAAGGTGCTATTGCCAGGCCAAATAGGACCATGTTCTCAGAACTTCATTGTAATGTTTCAATCTGGGGGCTGCAGTATTCCCATGCAAAATAATACTCGGCTCAGTATCTGGGAGCTGCACCACTGACGATGGGTCCTCCCAGTTCCTGGCAGGGTGACAGGTGAGGCAGACTAAGACCGGGCTGTTACAAGAAACGCTCAAGTGATATGTACGGAGGTGTTCTCATCGAATCTGTATAGCTCCGGGACCCTAGGGTCATGGGGATTAATTGTAGGGAAATCACGTGCATCCACATGAGGGATTGCGCAGGAATGTTTTGAAAAACACACATATCTGCGCTGCTGATGTTGCTGGTGGCGCTGCTGCCATGGGCACCTTTGCACAACAAAAAAAGTGCTAAACAGGCGCAGCTGCTGCGTCCCCACTTGACGGAACCTGCGGAAGGATCAGACACAGCGCCATTCGTGACATGCTCGTGCCTTTCGAATTTACAGCTGAGCAGAATTCAACACATGGGTATACAGCGCAGCCGGTGCAGGATCGCATGACAGGCTGCTTTGCAGGCCTGAGTTCTGGCCGGGTGGAGATGACATACCTCGGCGTAAATAAAAGATTTGGTCCCCCCCAACCACCTATCACCACTGGACTTCGTATACATCAACTCTCCTAAGGGCGGCGCTGTTCCTCGATTGGTTCCAGCATGTATCCATCAAGGTCCAGGAAAGCATCTTCTGCCACGCTCACATTGTAGACCTCCCAGCACGCTGTTACTCTGACAACCACCCGCTTCAATCCAAGTCACAAAGACTTTGCAGTGACTTAAGGCCCTCCCCAAATCATACCCAGTTGGAGGGGATTGGTCCCTAGACAAATGTAGGGATCGACGAGGGGCCTCAATTCAAAAAATACGGACTTGGCAGACCCCCACAGCTGGTGGAAGAAGATTTCCAAGGCCTCCCCAGGCAGCAGCCCGTGCGGTGCCAGCAGCGCATAAGGGCCTTGTAACACACATGAAGCTCCGTGACTACACGGCTGTGTTTAAGCTGCAGGCGCAGTTTTGGGAGTCTGAGGCTTTAGCTCTGCGTGCCGCACAACTGTAGCAATCATACATTCCCGGCCTGCTACCACTGCCGCCACACCAGGCACGTCAATGACTGGGGACATGAACGACCTTCCACAGCACTTTGAATTTGAACGGTAAGGCTAAGGCTGGGTCGAGGGGGCATAGTGATTGTCATCAAGCAAGGACCGAACACGCTTGTCTTCTTACCGCAAAACGGCGCGCAAGCGGCTTAGGCAAACTTAAGCTTCCGCTCGACGACAGGCACCAGTAGCCTGACGCCATGCCTTGAAAAGAAAACCATAAAAGGGCCGTGGCTTTGGTACTCTTTGTGGACTTCCTGGACTCTCTCTTGGAGGAATAGTGTTCATCCAGCATGCTTTTGCTAGGCAACGTGGCTCAAGCCACAATAAATCACTGCTTCAGACCTTTTGTGGCCTTGATGAAGCTCTATCTCATAAACATCGGGCCAAGGTTTACAAATGTGCGTTCCAGACCCCTACCTTGTACCGGACACAAAGAAGGCTTTGCGCTGCGCGAGGCGTACGGTATGTACCAGAACAACAAACCTCGCCGCACACTTGCTTCATTGCCCGTGGCCGCTTGTGCGCTTTTGGCTGGCTGCTTCCAGACTTAATCCTCAAGCAAGCAGAGCAGTAGTGGCCGCACATGCTGGATTTCTGCCCGTCAGCTTTTGGTCGGCTGAGGGCTCAAAAACAGCCAAGCTTTACACTATGGGCGGGGTTCTCCAATTGCAAGGGGATTGTGAGGTCCCCGCTCGGGATTGCTTATGACTCTCTGAGGGTAACTCCCTTCTCAGTCTGGTCAAGAGGAGCCTGGGCGTGAACGTCACGTTTCCAGGGCCCGCCATCACCTCATCCCAGCACAAGCTTTGTGAAGATGGGAAGACCATGAATGAGGATAATAAGGGGCCTGAAGGACTATATAGCGAGAAGCTACGACATGATTACCAGAGTCATAGTAGCCATACTTTCTGTCCAGAAAAGTGTTGTTGCATCGAGTAATCATCTGAGACCGCTGCAGGCTCACTGAATCCAAGGAGGACATTCCCTTGCGCTGGAAACACATGCATCGGCGCGTCCAAATCCTTTTGCATGGAGCGTCCAGCACAACTCACGCTTCTTAATCAATGCCTGTTGTGCAAGGCAAGCCCAGCTACAAGATGCCAAGCTTGAAATGTCAAGAAAAGAAAACTTGCGTGGTGCTGCAATGTCATTGAGAGACTCTGATCGTCCTCTTCGCTGGCGGGTCGGCAGAAGGTCGTGTTCAGATTTGGCCTTAGCCGTGCTTGATGCTTTTTGTATGAGACTTGTGAACGCGATGTTTCCTATGTCGAAGAGACCCTGACCGACACTGCCGGGTAACCCTGAAGTATAATCCGCAATCCTTTGCACGAAGCCACTGAGAGCAGGGCCGATCCATGGCCTCCGGCAAGACGGAGAAGCTGATCCGGAGCTCTGCCTGCCACAAGGCTATGCATTTTGTGGGACCCCTTCCCATCCTTGAATCTGGTGAATCATGGCGCCTGTTGAAGTGAGAGTGAGGGCTTGAGCACGCTTGAGCTGAGGGCTTTTTCTGCCAGGTGACGGGATTTGGGGTCATTTCGAAAGCCGGTACTTTAGGGGTCCCTGGACTTGTGGATAGAGGAATCCTGGAGGTCATGTCCGCTTTATTGGGCTGAGATCAGGGCCAATTACGAGCACTCTTCATGGCCGTGCCGGGGGATCAGTCACATGCCAATCTGTTGGCGGAAGAGAAATGCAAGCTTTGTAGTTGTGTAAGGGTCAGGAAGATTAAAAACTAGACAGGTACATGTCAGATCGAGTGCAGGGTCGACTGCAAACCAAAATCAAGTGAGCGGAAGACAAGGGAAGCATCATATTGAGCAACGTCAAGGCGATTTTGAGTCCAGGCTGAGTCATCCTGGCTAGCTCTTTCCACAAAGGCAACTGGCAATCCTTGCGCCCGCATGAATCCTCCCCTGATATCGAAGTTGCCCTTCAATGAAGAATGGGAAAACATTTCGAAGGCACCGGGCGGCTGGCCTCTGCTGATGGGTTGCCGCCCCCCTGCAGCACATGGAGCCCTATGAAGCTGCCTGAAAATGTCTTGCTTCTAGCTGTTCTGGATTGTTCTGGCTCTGTTTTACTGCGCCTGGCAGCAGGCTCCTACAATTTGAGAGCGGGCGTAAGGATGCCTCCAGCAGGTTGTCCGTCCTTCGCTGGATGTCCTCTCGTGCACGCACTTCCAAGTCAGCATCTCTACATGCAGCATCCCGTGCAGTCTAGAAAGTACCTTTCCAGGCTGGGAGTCTACTTCCAAGCCCCAGTCCAGTCCAGAAAGCATCTAAGTACGAGTGCTGAAAATTCATAATGGGAATTGCGTAGTGCACACTGCTTCGAAGCAAAAATGCTCATCTTCTGCACACATGCAAAGCATCTTTGCAAGTGTAGTTGAGTTGAGGCCCACGTTCAAGATCCTTGAGCATTGTTGAGATTAGAACATACAAAACAACAGCACCAGGAGGTGCTCGCGCATCACTCAATGCATGGCAACGGGCTTTTGGATCTAAAGCCACAAGCAAAGTTCCAAATTCCTCAGTACCTAAGGCACTCGCAGTCATTGCAAAAATCAAGCTGGGAGATTTTCAGCAATTTGGTGGGGGCGCGTGGTATCTAAAGCTACAGGGATTACAGGAATTCCTGGGTGGAAAAGAGGCCTTAAAGGACTATTGGGAGAAATGCCCAGAACAGTCCAGGAAAAGAAATCGCTGCACACGCAGGATGACCATGCCGCCGCCGGCCAGGACCTGGGAGTTTCTCGAAGGGTTGTGGAGACATCTAAGGCTTGGCAGCATGGGCTTACTAAGACTGGGGGTCTAATTGTGCATGACTCCGTCAAGCTTTTCTGATAAGCCCACAAAGAGCTCCTTTGTATCCCTATGTTACGCCAGCAAGTTTTACATGTGCGAGTTCCCAAACCAATCGGTGCGCTCGTCAATGCACCAAATCAAGCTAGAATAGAAGCAACTTGCTTCGTTGTTGCTGGCCATGAATCCTTTGCACTCGTCCAACTGCCGAGCTTTCCACGACGCCGACACTGACATGTCCCACCGAATGTATGTACACTGGATGTCATCCTGTAGATACTTAAAGGTGCTATTTGCACACAGACTTGATGTATTGTGTTTCAGATGCCACACGCGTCCTTCACTACACGTCACGTTGTAGATCGTTGTAGATACATACATACATACATACATACATACATACATACGTAGGCATGCACACATGCATACATACATACATNNTACATACATGCATACATACAGACAGGACCCAAACTCGCCAATGGCTTGGTGTCGCGCATGCTGTGGGAAGGTCATGGTCAGGCGATTGCCCCTGATCTCTACCTGCTTGCTTCAAGCGACAGTTTTCAGCAAGCAGATTGCCCAGAGAGCATGCTATGTTTCCTTCCTGAGATTTGCATCTTGAGCTTCAACTTGTCAATCTCCCCGGCACGCTAGAAACCCTGCATCCATTTGCTCAGCGCTGCTCAGCTTTTTTTTTTT